CCCTCACACATCCCCACTCACCGCCGCGCGCGCTCCCCGGCACCCGCCAAAATTCCAACATGGCCACGCCCTCCTCCTCCCCCCGCGCATGCGCGCCGGCGCCATCCCCGGTACTGGCAGAGGCGGCGCCGCCCGGCGCCATCTTGGTTGTGGGCGGGCGAGGATGCCCCAAGGTGAGGTTGAGTTGGGTGACGTCACGGCGTGATGTCATATCGCGATTGACGTCGTCGTCACGCAGTGCCCTTGGCTCTGGGCGAGCCCGCTCAGCCGCAAAGAGCTGCCCGTGTTTGGGCGGAGCGGCCTCAGGGAAGGGTCACAGCGGTCGCCATCCTCACCTGGATAACCTGAATAGTGTCAGCCCTTGTGTTAAATCAGCAAATTCAGTCCCGGTTATTGTCACGTGCAGTGGGCAGGATTTTGTGGTCTAGTTCACTGTTTCTTGGGTACAGTTCTGTAAAAAAAAAATATTTTGGAGTACGTACAAGCTCATTGCTCTAGTCCCTCACTCCATGCATCACTTAGAAAGAATTCAGGAGCAATATCTTCAGTCCAGGAAGGATTTCTTCAATTTGGGATTAATTTCTTCACTGAAAGGGTGGTCAAACATTGGAATGGTCTGCCCGGGGAAGTGGTGGAGTCACCATCCCTGGAAGCGTTCAAGAAACATGTGTGGCAATTACGGTTTAGTTGACAAGGTGATGCTGAGTCAAAGATTGAATTCAATGATCTTGGAGGACTATTCCTACCCTAACGATTCTATGGCATCACCCCAAAATTGCTCCCAAACAATATGGATTTGAGCTCAGATCCTGAGGCTCTTGCACTAAATCCACTCTGAGGGATGATGTCCAAAGAGAGCATGTAATTGGTATTCAAAGGCCAGCAGTACCTGTACTGGGTTAGGAAAGCTGAATTAAGGACAGAAACTCTGTAGTAGCTGAAGGAATCAAGAAGTTCCAGCAGACAACACAGAAAAAACTCAGGGAGAGATGCTCCACTGAGCAGCTGAGATGCTCTGCTGAATAGTTGTCATCCAAGCCATCTGGCATGTGCCACATTAGACTTTCTTGGTTACTGATTTTCTATCAAACATCACATTCCTATCCCAGGCATGCTGGGCTGACTCAGTCTCAATGCACCCTGCTCTGATGCTCATGCAGAGGTGTTCAGGGGAGCCGGAGCAATCAGCAATGCCAGGGGGGCTCCCCTGTACTGCTGCTTATCCATGATGGAAACAAGGAAACACCTGGTGGCCCATCTTGGCATGAGTGTGAATCTGTGGGCAGACATCAGGATGCTGTGATTCCTATTTTCCCTTCCTCTGGCTTCTAACTGCTAGTGTGGCCCAGGCTAATCACAGAGTTACACAAAGTCCCCCCACTCTCCATCTAACAGGACTGATGAAGTAATGAGCTTGTCTGCCCCTGTGACTTGGTTTGCCAATCCAGAGATACCTTGTGGCTCGGAAATCTCAGTTCCACCCCACAGAACTGTTCTGGCCCCTTCCTAGACCGGATTTTAAATCTGAAATGGAAATAAATGCTTCTGGCTCCTGTTCCACATCAAGTCAGGGTACTGATTGTGGGACATGCTGCTACACTAAGAATGTCCTTTGTTAAACAGAAGTATTTCATGGACAAGAAGTATTTCATGAGCCCTCAGCAGGTTTGCTGATGACACCAAGCTGTGTGGTGCAGATGACACGCTGGAGGGATGAGATGCCATCCAGAGAGAACTGGACAGGCTTGAGAGGTGGGACCATGCAAACCTCATGATTCTGACTGTTCGTAGTGTTCAGTCACCTTAAAACACAAGTAAATGATACCTTTCATACAAGGGAAAACAAAGGGGATGGACTCTCAAACCTGTGCTAATGAGCATCTGCTGGCCATCGTCCCTTGTCACGGCAGCTCATCTGCCCTCTGGACTGCAGTTAATGATGACAACAGAAAAATAATCTTCCCTGTTGTATGAACAGGTCTCAGTGTATTGTGATTTTATTCTTTGGAGTTCCATGTCCCTTCTGATTTGTACTGTTAGACCCACTATATTATCTTCCTATGAAGAGCTACTTCAGCTAATGCCCATGTTTTCCTGTTAGCATTCCCATGATAAGGTCCCCTCTCTTCCTGAAACCTCTTAAAATTATTAATTTTGACTCAATGAATGCATAAGTAATTCCTCCTTTGGCCTTTCACGTGGATTTTCTGTGTTTTCATTAAGGTGAATGCTCCTCAGATTAAATCAGCTCTATTATCATTCTATTAGTTTGCTTTTGGCCCAGTAGCATTTCCATCAGGTTTTGATCATTGCAGAATCCGTAACTGTCACAAAGCTCCCATAATAAAATTGGAGTCAGGGTAAAAAAGCCCATAAATCCTACTGTCACAAGAAACCAATTAAAAGCCAATAAAATATTGCATCTGCTGGGAGTGCTTGTAATTGATGAAGAAGGTTGCAAGGAGGCTGATGAATATCTCTTCACAAAAGATTTTAGTCAGCTCTTGCTTTACCGGAAATTATGGATGAAGCTATATATGAGCTGTAAGAGAAAATAAGAATCCAGAGTCTACAAGAGATAATTAGAACAACAGTGACAACAAATTAAAAAAAAAAAATCACTTTAATTAAAATGGTAAAAAAGGGATTGTTTCTCCAGGTATTGGTAGCTGAGAATTCACTGACAGCATGACATGAAAAATACACTGAAGGAAGGTTTTCTTGGGCTCAAGAAACAGGTATTTTTGTTGTGTATATTTTAATAATATTCACCTGTTGAGAGCAAAACATAAATTTTACACTATTGAGGCCTTTGTTTTGAATTAATCAGCTCTAGAGTAGTTTCTATTTCATGTTTGAAGCAAAATAATGACTAAAATATTAACTCACCAAACTTTTTATTTCTAATTCCACTATAGATTTGTTCAGCTTGTTTTCTCCTCTGTGATTCAGATCTTCATCCACAGCACCATTTGAAGAAGTGGGTTGACATTTATGGAAGTGGGTTGACAGGAGAATTTGTCACACACAAATTCTGAACACTGGAAGTGCTTACCCAGAGATTGTGGAATCTCCTTCCCTGGAGATATTCAAAAGCCACCTGGACACAATCCTGAGCACCCTGCTCTAGGTTGACTCTGCTTGAGCAGGGAGGTCTGACTAGGTGACCTCCAGAGGTCCCTTTGCAGCACAGCAGTGGCAATGTCTGGTGCACGTGGGAAACAGAAACACCAGATTTTCAGACTAAAACTCCTGTTAAGTAATAAAATGACATTAAAATGTTGAGCTTTCATGTTCAGGTTGTGTGCCCATCCTACCCTGCTCCTTCTGAACACCCAGCTCATGATTTTGGCACTCGGAAGTGGACTGTTGCCTCTCAGTGACCCCAACAGACCTATCACAGAACAAGATGGCACAGATTTAACTACTGGGTTGTAATGAGTCCAGGCATATTTGCTTCTTGAAATTCAGTTTTGAACAGCGAAGGAAAAAGATGAAAATTTTTTGCAATCCTGCATTTGTAGTCCTGTTTCAGCCTCCAAAGTATCCACAAGCATAGATAATTTTATAACTGTTATAGATTTATTTCAGGATGTGAAAATCCATTATAATTTTTTAAATTAGGATACATCCATCTCAGCGCTTTCTACCACAATACTGTACAGGTTCAAATTATTTTATTATAATAAACAAAAGTCAAGACAACACCTTAAAAATTAAGAGTTCTATAAAACCAAGTGACTTGAGTACATCAGGAGTTACATGTTTCAGACCTAAATGATCTGTTTTAAACCTTACCCACATCTGGCTAAAGCAACAAGTTACATAAGCCATCAAAAATTTAACATCAGATTAGTATGGTCACAAGGGCAGCAATAAAACTGCCATCTGGAGAAAGAGCAGGGTTCACTTCAAATGCTCGATGAATACAGCTCTACTCCATTTTGCTGAAAGCTTCTCAAACAGCTTTTTCATGTATTACTTTCCTGGTATATAATATATGAGAGATGAACAGGCTCACTGTTCTTAAGAGTTGATCAGCAAATATCCCACCTCTCTTCTGAATTCAGTGAGTCAGCCCCATTCTGCAGGGCAGCCACAGGGCAGAGCACTTCAGGGGAATGTTCCTGAAAGGTTTCATAGCAGCAGGCACACTGTGGGTTCTGTAGCACATCCATGTTGTTAACCTATGAAAATTCTTTCCCTAAAGCAGATTACAACAAGATTAGTGACTACAGGGCAGGGGAAGAGTTTTACTGTTTTCCCACTGAATTAATGAGAAAACCCTGAAAACTTCCTTCATAGGATATAGAATTTAACATTATTTGAGCAAGAAGGAAAAAAAACCCCAAAGTGTTTGGCAGGTGAAATTCCAGAAGACGAAGAAATGGAGGGCATCACTCAATTAATGCAGTCCATAACGTGAATCTGCAGTGTATCCAAATCAGGTAAAATTTCTTCACATTTGGGACATGAATATATTGAGATATTCCGCTGCTCTGGCCAGTCTTGACTACCAGTCCCTGCAAGCAGAGAAGATAAATGATTACCTGTTATACCACCTGATTTTGCTCTCTCCAGCTACCCAGTTTCCAGGATAGCCACAGGGAAGCTGCCTGCAGCCAAGCCAAGCTGGTTTAACCTGAACACAGCAGGGCTTGGCCCCATGAACTGGAGAAGGTGCTCACAGTACCTCTTTGGACAAGGCGAGGCGAGTGTTCCCGATCCGGCACTCTGGCTCCGTGGCGATTCTGCATCTCTGCCAAAGAGTTTCTGTGGAGAATAAATAAGGCAAGGCCTCTGAAAATAGACTCATGTTAGCTGGTCATGCATCTAGTTCTCAACTGCTGTTCAGAAACAGGACCTAGAAATGTCGCTGCTTTGTGAGATCACGCCAGGGTCCAGCTGAAATCAGGGTCATGCAATTGATACCAGCAGGATGTGGACAGCCACACACCTAGGGATCTAGGGCACACCCCTCTGGAAAACTCCAAGAACTCCCAGCTATTCAGGGCAAACTACAAATTTGATTAAAGCAGAAAAGCAAGTTATACCAGAAAAAGGGCTCAGTACACCAGTAATGTGTAATGTAACTTGATTCAAGTATCACAGTACTTGAAACTGTGTACTCACTTACCACTGCCACTCCGAGAAGCAGCAGATATCCCTGGCACACAAGCAGCAAGATTAGCTGCAGATTCACTGCT